TCTTCTTCTTCTTCTTCTTCTTCTTCTTCTTCTTCTTCTTCTTCTTCTTCTTCTTCTTCTTCTTCTTCTTCTTCTTCTTCTTCTTCATATAGATCAATGGTGTAGCTGTGCGCCTTCCTGTCCATTTGAAAACCCAGAAGATTGCCATTTATCAACATGGATTTTATGTTGTTTTAACAACTGACTTTGGTTTAACCATGAGTTATGACCTGGCACACAGCCTCTTTGTAACCCTTTCTCCTAAATACCAAGGGCAAGTATGTGGGATGTGTGGGAATTTCAAGAGAGCCAATGACGGCGATTCTAACGTGCAAATCAGCTCCGTAGCAAAACACCCCTTGAACCTTGCCAGCTTCTGGAGTTCATCCGCCATCACAGGTAGCTTCGTGCCTCCTAAATTTGTTAAGGAACATCTCATCCAGTCTAAATCCCTGTGCTGGATCATCCAGAACGCCGATGGGCCGTTTGCTTCTTGCCATTCTCTGGTCGATCCCGAACCCTATTTCACGAATTGCATTTTGGATCTTAATGCGTCCGCTGGGGATCCGAAAGTCTTGTGCCTTTCCATTCAGACATATGTAGCAGCCTGCCAGAGAGCCAATGTCACCCTCAGGCCTTGGAGAATTGGATCATTTTGTGGTAAGTCAATTAACAAAGTCATGAACACTTCTAGGACATTATCTAATATTTGGTTTATGAATAGGTGTGCGCGTGTAATACATTCACCTAACTTTAAGGTTAAAGAAAAGTCAAGCAAATGCATTCCCATAACATCATAGGTGGTATTCAGCCGGTTCGGACCGGATCATCTGAACCAGTAGCAGAAATCGCAGGTAGCACCCCCCTCCATCCCGGCTCTATGCCATCCTATTTAGGCACATTTTTGAGGGCGGGTGCATGTACGGAAGGCACGCACGTGAGCAAAGCTCATGCACAGAAGGCTGAGCGCCTGTGCGCAAGGGGCGTGCATGTGAAGGGAGCATGAACGTGCGCGGCAAACCAGTGGTATCAAAATTTAAAACCCACGACTGCGTAACATGCTAAATTTGGTTACTGCAAATATTGGCTAGTTTGTTAGTGTGTGATGCGAAGCCAGCCTGTATCGTTTGCTTATGGTTCAAGATAATGGGTGAGCCCAGAAAATGGATTAATTAAAATAAAAAACATGTTTAAAAACAATACAGTTAATCAGCAATTTACCCAGGAGCTTTGGAAATCAAATCCATAGCTTTGGTGTGGAGTGCTGGCATTTTTGAAGGCTCCAGTTTGAAGCTTTCTTTTATGATATCCAAGGGAAGAGAACGACTGGTTGATTGGATGAAGAGAATATTCTAGGAAAAAAACTTCCTCCCGAGCAGACTTGGAAATACTATAACATTTTGCTGCAACCTTGATCATTTTTACATATTTAATATGAGTTATTTGGAATGTTTTCCAGAAAAGAACTGTATTAGATTTATGGCTTTTTCGTACGCACAGGAAGAGCTAAATAAAGGCCACTATCAGNAACCTAACCCTAAACCTAACCCTAAACCTAACCCTTACCTTAAGTTGAATCGGCTTGTTTCCAAGCGCTATTTAAAGCGCCTTTCTTTCTCCGCGCTGGCTGTTGTCACCCTGTTGACGTCAGCGATGCGGTTTAATCGGGCGCGGTTTAGTCGAGCGCGGTTTTGACGGGTCACGGTTACTTGCAACCCTGACATTTTTTAAAAAAATAATAATTTTATGATTCTTTTTACAAAAATAACATGAGACATACAAACTTAATCCATGCATCTACAAGTTGCAAGTTTGAAGAAGTACTGATTTAAGCGAAGAGGCCTTTAAGAAAAAAGATATTGCCTATGAAAGAGCTGGTGCCATGCCATTAACGCCCAATATAACGTCTGTTATATAACATAATGAGCTTTGTCTTGCCTTTCAGATGCACCAATGACACGGGTGCCCTTGCACCCTGCACAAATCACCTAGAATTGGAGCAAAAGTGTGCAATCCTCACAGATCAATCTGGGCCTTTCTCAGAGTGCCACTGGCACGAGAAACCTGATCCCTATTACAATTCCTGCATTTTTGATCTCTGCCAGTACGGACAAGGCCACGACATGCTGTGTGCGGCTATCGAAACCTATGAGGAGATGTGCCAGAGTCTCGGGGTGCAGGTGCTCAGCTGGAGGGAAGAGCTGGGATGTGGTGAGCAAGGCGCCTTTTTCCTTTCGGTCCCTCAAAATGTCCTGCTATGAAATTGTGCTCTTTATTTTTTTAAAGTTTTGAAGTATGAAAAGTTTCAGAGATGCAATGCTGGCCTGTCTTGTATTTCATTTGGAGGTTACTAGGAAATATAAGTAACCTTCAGTGGTAGGTTCCGGATCTCGTTGCAAGCAGTACAGTGCCATGGGGCTGGGTGCCCACCATGTGCATGTGTGCATGCTTACCTACTACCCGTGATACTCCAGCTGCTCGACGGAGTATCGCGTAAGCGGCGTATGCTCCGCGCGCGTGCACAAATGCCCCGATCGGCTCAAATAGCGGTAAGGAGATCAGGCAGGTGGGCGGGCCCTCCAGAGCACTGTACCAGAAGGGTACCTGGTGCTCCCAGCAGGCACCAGTACTCCCGTACCAGAGCGTACCGGTTGTATGCCACCACTGGTAATCTTCAACTTAAAACCATTCATTTAGTGACTGTTTAAGTTACAAAACCAGTGAAAAAGGTGACTTAGAAATAAAATAACAGAGTTGGAAGGGACCTTGAAGGTCTTCTAATCCTGTGTTTCTCAACCTTGGCCACTTGAAGATGTCCGGATTTCAACTCCCAGAATTCTCCAGCCAGCATTTGCTGGCTGGGGAATTCTGGGAGTTGAAGTCCGGACATCTTCAAGTGGCCAAGGTTGAGAAACACTGTTCTAATCCAACCCACTGCTTAGGCAGGAAGCCCTACATCACTTCAGACAAATGGTTATTAGGCACATTTTTTCACACTTAGGACTGTTGCAGGATCCTCATAGTCATGTGATCAGAATTTGGACACTTGGCAACTGATTCATATTTATGACGGTTGCAGTGTCCCAGGCTCATGCAATCCCATTTTGTGACCTTCTGACAAACCAAGTAAATGAGGAAGCCAAATTCACTTACCAAACTGTGTTATTAACTTAACATATAGCAATAGCAATAGCAGTTAGACTTATATACTGCTTCATAGGGCTTTCAGCCCTCTCTAAGCGGTTTACAGAGTCAGCATATTGCCCCCAACA